TTGCAGTGATGAGGCTGTCTTCAGGATTGTATTTTTTTTAGTGCTATCTCAAGTATTTGATGGATGGGTGGGTGGGTGAATGGATAGATGAATAGTTGGTTAAAAAATATTCACCAACACAATATATATTCTGTTTCTTCACTGTATTGAACCCTTTTCAAAGTATATTCAGAAACACAATCCAGAATAATTTTTTTTCTTGTATCCTACCCATACTGAGTAATTATTTGCCATTATTATTATTCCATTTTAATAGAGCAAAATTTTTAAAATTTAACTTTATTTTAGCAGTTTGGGCCAATAGTTCTTAGTTGTGGAGATTGTCCCGTGTATTACATGAATGAGATATTTAGCAGTACCCCGGCCTTTCTCGACTACATACCACTTCCCTTTCTGTATTGTGACAACAAAATATTTCATTGGCAATATTAAAGATGCCCTGGGAGACAAAATTGTCCTCAGTTGAGATGTTCTCATCTTAAAATACATAGGCTCTTCAGAGAGAGAGAGAAGAATGGAATTAATGCTAGAGAAGTACTTATACTTACCAGTTGACCTTTATAATTGTATTTGAAGATAGTTGTAATATCATTGGGCAGATTGGCATATTGAGGCCCAGAGTAGTTAAATAGCTTTACCTAAGATGATTAGGTAACAGATAAGACAATGAAGATTTGAACTCAGGCATGTTAGGTTCCTAAAGTTTATGTTCTTTGTTAAATGGCAGTAAAAATCAAGTAAATATTAATATATACACATATAAAAGTATATTTAAATTATGCTGCCATACTTATGCTGCCCTATTAGCTACTTTAAAATATTTACTAAATCCTTTCATGTTTTCCTGTGAATCTACATCACTTTTTAATAATTACCTAATATTCATCTCTAGACGAATCATAATTTACATAGCCATCTTTATGATACGTGATTTTTAAAATTTCATTTAAGGAATGCTGCATGGAAGTTATCAGCATATAATTATGTTGGTATTTTTGTTCAGTGAGAGTCCTAGAAGTGTTGATAATTAAAAGAAGACTTACAGTCACTGCTTCAATGAATTCAAATCCAGCTAAAACAAATCATGCTATTAACAGAGCTTATAAAGATGGCTTTTGTCCATCTATTTGCTAGTTCTGTGTAATATATTAGTCTAATTGAGAAACATTATGTATTAGTCTTTTAATATGCATTTTATGATTGCCAGTGAAGTTGTTACAATTTCATGTTTCTGAGCTATGTGTTTTCTTCTTTTTCTTATATCTTTTTAAATGTCTTTGTCTATTTTTCTGTTTTAGCAGCTTGCTTATTTCTTATTACTTTATATTAGCTCCTTAACTATTATGTGCATTGAATTTTCTCATAATTTACCTTAATATGTATTAATAATATTTTTTATTATTTTATTTTATTATTTTATTATTTTATTTAATTTTTAAATTTTGTATTAATAATATTTTTTATTCTAACTTAATTATTTTTCATAATAGCTACCATTTGTATTTTGGTTAGGAAAGCATAGTTTTAAGGCTTATACTAATGGTAAAATATGCAAATTTGCCTATTATATTTATTTGCTAAGCTTAGAATTCTCTCTCTCGTATGACACAAAATAACCTTGACAAGAATGTTATCTAAAAGTTAAAAGAAGAAACAGTAGTTACAAAAATAGTGGCAACATATTTGAAGATCTTAATACAGAGATAGTCTTACTAAGCAAATATTTATCAAACAAAATAGCACCTAAAGCTATTGGTGGATGTATAAATTATATACTACATTTTATATGGCTTTATAGGAGTATAGAATTATAACTTATGTAAGATAAAGCATACTTACTATGTGTACAACTTAGTCTTGACATATCTACACATTTCTGAAATCACCACCATCTTCAAGTGAATGGGACTGTCTTTTTCCTTACTTTCTTCTGCTTTCCTTGATGATGGTCCTTCCCTTTGTTTCCTACCTTGGAAAATTACTGATCACTTCCTGACAATACAGGTTAATTTTTATATTTTTTATAAGTGGAAACATGTAGCTTTCTGATGTTGTTCTTTTGCTATGGATTTTGTATTCATCAAAATTACTCAGATAATAATTCAGATCATTCCATAAGAGACCTCCCAAGAGATCCACTACAGCCAGTAAAACAGATCACCACCATGCATGACTCTCTGAAGACCCCATAGTCTGAAGGCCTCCGAGAAGGTCTGCTACAGCCAGGGTCACAGGCTTCCCAGGAGACCTGCAACAACCCAGGGACATAGGAGGGAGGCTCCAGACAAGAGACACCCAGACCAACTAACACTAGAGATAACCAGATGGCGAGAGGCAAGTACAAGACCATAAGCAACAGAAGTCAATATACTTTGGCATCATCAGAACCCAGTTCTCCCACCACAGCAAGCCATGGATACACCAACACACCTGAAAATAAGGATGTTGACCTAGACCTTAAATCCTATCTCATGAAGATAATAGAGTCCTTAAAGGAGAATATAAATAACTGTACTAAATTGCCTTTCTGGAAAAATATCTAATCATCTATATAGTTATTAGTCTATGTTTAGATGTTCTATTATGTTCCATTGATGTATTATCAGTCCTGCCTGATACCAGTGCCAATGGCATACTGTCTTGATTATCATAAGTTTATATGTTTAGTTTTTTTTTTAATTTTCCTATAAATCTTCAAACAAGCTTTCAAAATGCTTACTTCTATTGGGGTTGCATTTAATCTGAAGTATTTTGAAATTTTTGGGAGCTAGAAAACCTTTCTTCTCTCTGGTATTCTGGTGTTCTTATCTCCTTGCCTTTTCCACCTCTAAGAAAGGGTACTGCTGTTTTCCACTTGTTTGTCTTCATATGCTATGGAATGCAGAGTTCTCTGCCACTTGCAAGTTTGATAGTCATCACAAGGCTGGCCTTGTTTGTTTTTTCACCTCTCAGAAACCACTAGTTGTCATTGCTACATTCTCAGTGTCTCAGAAACCATTGGTGCTTGTGTTTCTTCTATGTGGTTTTCTTTTCTTTTCTTTTCTTTTCTTTTCTTTTCTTTTCTTTTCTT